AAAAAAAAAAAAAAAAAAAAAAAAAAAAAAAAAAAAAAAAAATAGATGAGTCAGCAAAGTAAGTTATTTCCAGATTTGAAGAAACATGAGACAAAACAACTTTTTGAGTAATACTTTAACATATGAAATTTGTCAGTTAGCAGTTGAAAACCTTGTACTTTATCATTTGTCCCTTAACCATGGCCCACCATGGAGGATAAAAGATTAGAGACTTTGACATAGGGCAAAATGAAGAGTTTCTAAAGAGTCAAATTATTATTGCTTTCATTTCATAAACCAAACTGTTAAATTCATTTGTGTGTTTGGCATGGGTATGCACACATGTATGTGTTTCCTAGGTCAAGCATTTAGGAAAAACGTACTATGAAATATGACATAGACACAAAAAAGTTTATTAAAAATGTATATGTGGAGCCAGGCACCATGGCTCATGCCTATAATCCCAGCACTTTGGGAGGCTGAGGTGGGTGGATCACCTAAGGTCAAGAATTTGAGACCAGCCTGGCCAACATAGTAAAACTCCATCTCTACTAATAATACAAAAATTATCTGGGCATGGTGGTGCATGCCTGTAATCCCAGCTACTCTGGAGAATGAGGCAAGAGAATTGCTTGAACCCAAGAAACGAAAGTTGCAGTGAGCCGAGATCTCGCCATTGCACTCCAGCCTGGGTGACAAGAGCAAAACTCCATCTCAAATAATAATAATAATATGTATCCTGTCAAAAACTCTCATTGCTACTTGGAATACATAGCTCAGTTATCTGTTTCACAACTATTCTCAAAGACTTAGTAGGAAGAATGTATATAATAGAAGTCCTGGCCGAGGACAGTGGCTCATGCCTGTAATCCCAGCACTTTGGGAGGCCGAGGCGGGCAGATCACCTGAGGTCAGGAGTTTGAGACCAGCCTGACCAATATGGCGAAACTCTGTCTCTACTAAAAATACAAAAATTAGCCAGGCGTGGTGGCGAGCAACTGTAATCCCAGCTACTTGGGAGATTGAGACAGAGACTTGCTTGAACCTGGGAGGTGGAAGTTGCAGTGAGCCGAGATTGTGCCACTGCACTCCAGTCTTGGCGACAGAGCAAGACTCCATCTCTCCCTCTCTCTCTGTCTCTCTCTCTCTCTCACTCACACACACACACACACACACACACATACACACACACACACATACACACACAGGTCCTTACTATCAATGAAGTTACTGAACTCCATAAAAATAACTTCCACAATGGTGCAAATCACTTGATTAGTACACTTGAATTCTTTATCACAACTTTCTGATAGGCCCTTATTGAGAGCTTCCCTAGGTAAGTTTTCTTTCTCAATGCCAGGTCTGACAGGCCAGAGTTTCAGCACAACTCTGCCATGCATTAACTGTGAGACTGTGTTAACCTCTGTCTCTGCCCTTCAATATTTTCAAGAGTAAAATGAGGATAATCATAGTACTTGCTTCATAGGCTTGTTTTAAATATTGAGATAATGTTTTAACACAGTGCCTGGTCCACAGTGAATGTTAAAGATGTAGAAAATGGTAATCTTATTTAGCTAAAGGTAGACCCAGAAAGTACTTTCTTAGACTAAGGAAGTTTTAATTTTGCTACTAAAAGGATATACTGTGTTAACCTACTGGGACGGTTTCTGAATGAACAACTTTATAGCAGAAAACAAGCTGCTTGGGGTAGAGGAGTAGGAGGCAGGGTTGACAGTGCTCAATAAGAGGGAAATTCTTTAACCTCGTCTTTTTTTTTGTGGTATGACATTTCTTTTAAGGAAACTTTGATCCAAGGTACATCAGTGCTACTGTTTCCTCATAGTAAACATTTTCTTTTCCAAGTTATAAAGTGATAGTGAAAGGTTGAATGTTAACAAGGATGGACTTCAAAGCTCAGGTTCCTTTCTGTAAAATGAAGATCTCTTCTGGAGCCTGTTTATATAACCAAGCAGAAATAGAAAACACTGGCATTTATTAAAAATGGCTCTCTCCCAAAGGGGATTGTTTAATTATATGAGGCATGATTCTAAGACTGGTTTCCACAACTCACACCAGAAAATTCACTCAACAAACATAATTAAATGACCCTCTTTTTTTCCTCCCTAAGAAAACTGTGTTTTACAACATTTTGAAGCATACAGTAAACTTAATTATAGAGCGGGGCTTTATATAAAAACATACACAGTTTTAAATAAGACTTTTTAAATTCAAAATTTAAAAGCTGTGCCCTAAATGTTAATTGTGGTTGTGATAAACATAAGAACATTTAGAAAATCAATACATGATTTAAGCTGTTAGAAAACACGCCACCCTCTTAAAACACATTTTTCCAGTGTCACATCGGATAAAGAAAACTCAAATCCAGTGTCCTTTGGATTTCAAGTTACCTTTGGGATAAACTTGGTTAAAAGTGTGTACTTGACCAGCCAGAAAGGACAGATATATAATTATTCAAACAAAAATTTACCTCACAAATATGTCTGGAGGTAAGTACTGAATTTATTGTAACTGGTATATTTCATAGTCCTGGTACAAGCTGTAACCACTATTTGCTAAAATTAGGTGTTTGCTTGCTCTAGAGATACTTCTGATAATCGCCTACCAAGTATTGCCTGATTTCAACCACCTTCCACGTGGCCAAGGAAAGAGTTGTGTAAACTACTCTGGGGTCATGTCAGTCTCCTCTGGCTTTTGCCCCAAATGTGCAGATAAGAGAACCTGAAACAGCCAGTCCTTGTACAGTAGTAGGCCATTCAGATTGGCGGGGGAGGGGAGGGCAGTGTCACCCAATCAGAAGCATAGTCGGTGCCCGTGGAACAATGAGCCGCTGATGAGGGTGTGGCCTGGAAAACGGCTCTTAGACAAAACTGTCATTTTATGGGTCATTTATATAGACAGACATGGCACTTCGGCTGTCTTCAGAATAATGTCACCCGGGCCCCTCTCCTGTCTTCTGCAGTCTTAAAAGACCCAGTCTCTAATTGAGGTCTGGCTTTTCCTCAGCCTTGGATGAAGTAGAGGTATGTGGAGGTAAGAGTCTCAGCAGAAAGAATGGTTGCAGAGCTGAAGATGAGGGCTACCATCAGGAAAGAAGACAGCTAGTGGAGTGCAGAGGAGTGGGAAAGCCTGGGGCTAGAAGTCAGGGTTCAAGCTTGTGTATACCTCTGTGTCAGTCCTTTACATGAGCTTAGAAGCTTGAAGGCTTAAATATTGCCTCATTTATCCCGGATGCTCTGTCTTTCTAGCTTACTCTCTTTATTTGCCTCTTCTGCAGTTTCTCACGTGACATCCTCCTTTTTATCAGTCAACAACTACCAAGTGCCTACCACTTGAAGGGGGCTCTAGGAAGATGCTGTGGAGGAAATAAGGATATGTGGAACACGGTTTGAAACAGGGAGCTTACAATTCAGAGGAAGACAAACAGAAACAGTTCAAAAGATAATCAAGGATATTTGTATGGGAAATAAGCCACTTAAGTGTAGACATTAAGAGCATAATAGCCCAGAAGAAAAATTACCATGGCTAGAGTAGGCATGCAAGCTTTCATGACAGATAACACTGTGCCTTTAAGTTCAGAGTATCTCCCTCTTTGGACTCTTGTGAAACCTGACTTTACATACAGATGAAAAGTTGAATATAAACTAAAATCTATTAGGAAATTCTAGAGGAGAGATTTAGAGAAACTGATGGATATAATCAAACCATAATTTCTCTTTTCATTTTTGGATACTACTGAGTTTTCTTTACACAATGCAAAACTACTCACTCTCTTCATTGAGGAATCCTTGGTTTATCTTTAGGGCCTCATTTACCTGCTTGCCTTTTGATTCAGGTGTCTCATTCCTAGGTGCTTCCATGCTTTGTCAGTACCCATGCTGTTTATGCTATATTCTTAATGAGAGAATTGGCCAAACAATTGGTAAGGGTACCATCAACATGCATTGAAAGTGCTCTTAAATTAAATACATTTTTTCTCTAGGTCATTTACATCCTCAAAGTTGCTATAAAGCATATACAAATGGGATATGGCATGATACAGTAGAATATCAACTTTCAAGTCCCAAAGACCTGGGTATTCCAGCTGTATAACCTAGGGCAAGTTAATATCTCTGTGCCTCAGTTGTCATTATCTATAGAAGGGATCAGGTCTGCTTCACAGTGTTGTTCTGAGGATTAAATGAGGCAACCTATGTAGAATTGATATGGCTCCAATAAGTAGAGGAACACTAGGGTTCTTGGTCCTCATGCCAGTTTAGATAAAACGATACAGATACGCGTGGAATGGTTTTAAGGAGCAAAAAGTTTAATAGGCAAGAAGGAAGAAGCTCCCCCATACAGAGACAAAGGGAGGGGGGCTCCAAATCCGAAAGAGGGAACCTGCAGTGTGGTGAACATCAGCCAGGTATATATTACAAAGGCTGGAGGAGGCAGTGTCTGATTTGCATAGGGTTCAGGGGATTGGTTTGACCAGGCACATCATTCACGAAGCCCGTGAAAACGCTGGCCCTCCCACCCTAGCCTTTTAATATGCAAACACAGGATGCCAAGATGTTCTACACACGCGGAGGTATTTGAGGGCGGCCATGTTGCCAGGAACATGTGGGGCCAGGACAAGAAGTCCACGGGAATTGCCATGTTGGACAGACCCAATTTCTAATGGCCTGCATATCAAATGTTGCTGGCCTTGCTCTAAGAGCTGGGGCTTTACCAGAAACTTTTCTGGAAGTGCTTTAAAAAACGAAAACTTCCCAAGGACCCCTTTTCCTCTCCATCTGCCTAATTTCTTAATAACTCCTACAACAGAATGCTTCACATAAAAAGGTCATAATAAATTATGATTACAACGTGGTATGTGCCTTTAGAAAGGTAAATATTGCTATCACTAATCATTTTGTGATGTTGCAGAACTTCAAGCAGAAAACTATATCTTCAAAAATAGAAAATTTCTATTATCTTTTGTGAGTGTTCATAAGAAACACCAAGGTATTCATTTTAGATGCCCCTGCCTTTTAAACCTATAATTTTCTTCTTTTAGTTTCACATCTGCATATGCCATTGTAATCTCAAAATGCATCTACTTTCCTTGTTTGGTAATCATAAACAGAAAAATCTGTCCAAGTTCTCAAATCACCTTAATTAAAACAATAGAATCTTACCAATCATCTAATTCGTCTCTACACTAACTAAAATCACCTCTACCCTCACAGGTAGATAGCTATCCAATACTTCCTAAACTGCCCAGTTTGAGCATTCATTCTCACATTGTTTATATTTGTCCTTCAGTGATCACCAGTCATTGATCCTAGCTGATCCTGAGAAACAAAGAATAAATCTAACCCACTTTCCATCCAGTGTTAACAACTTTAGCAACAGTCGATACTGTGCATGTGAGGAGAGTATGGTATTGCCAAGTTTGAAGGGGCTGATAGTAGGGCTGCTAGAAAGAATGCAATGTTTGGAATATATTCATACTAAAAAGTGGTTGTTTATTTAAAATTCAAATTTAACTGAGCATCCTCTGTTTTTATTAGCTCAATCTGTCAATCTTACAAGTGGTAGCTAAAGAAATCAAAGCTGAGCTAGTGAGCTGGGGGCAGGAGAGGGAAGGATAGAGCTACGCCCTGCTCAGTTCTGCTCAGTCCTATCTCAGTTCTCTGGCTGCTCAGCACATCTGTGGAGGCCACTTCAGAGGCCCACATTACGCTTTGCATATGGACCTGTGTCCCCTACTTACCCCACAACTTTCACAGTTCAGCCCTATTTGGGGTTGAAGTTGAGTAGTTGAAGACAACTACCATTTTAACCAAAATGTCGTAATTTCCTGACTTATTTCCAATCCCTCCCATCATTCCTCATATTCTAGAGTCAATAAACTTCAAAGAGGTCAATGAACTTCAATCCTCTGGATTAGATTTGAACACTTTAATGTACCTTAAAATTGCATTGCATCCAAAGAGCTAATTAACATATGAAAAGGTGCTTAATCTCCTTAGTACCAACAAGGAAACACAAAACCACAGATACCACCACTTAACTAGCAAGATGACTAAAACGTGAAAAGACTGACAATACTAAGTGTTGTCTGAGATACGTAGCAACTGAGCTGTCATACCTTGCCTGAGGGAGTGTAAATTGGTACCATCACTTTGGAAAGCTGTTTGGCAAGATCTACTCAAGCAGGAGTATCCAATCTTTTGGCTTCCCTGGGGCACATTGGAAGAAGAATTGTCTTGGGCCACACATAAAATAACACTAACGCTAATAGCTGATGAGCTAAGAAAAAGAAAATTACAAAAAAACCCTCATAATGTTTTAAGAAAGTTTACAAATTTGTGTTGGGCCACATTCAAAGCCATCCTGGACTGCATGTGGCCCACAGGCCATAGGCTGGACAATCTGTACTAAAGCTTAAAGTATATATCCTATGACCCAGTAATTCTACTCCTATGTATAAACCCAAGAGAAATGCATACATCTGTTCACCAAAACACATAAATAACAATGTTCTTAGCAGTATTATTCATAATGTTGTAAAACTGAGAACAACCTATAGATCAATAGTATAGTAGATAAATGTTTTGTGGTATAATCAGGTGATGGAATACTATATAGCATTGAAAATGAACAATTATTGATAGACATGGATGAATATCACAACATGGATGAATATCTCAACAACATGGATGAATATCACAAACACAAAAGATGTAGTATGATTTCATTTATATAAAGTTTAAAAACTGGCAAAGGTGATCTATGTTGTTAGAAATAAGAAAGGTTACCTCCAGGGAGAAGAGAAGGGTAGTGACTTGAAGGTAGCATGGGAAAAACTTCTGGACTGCCGGTAATGTTTTCCTTCTGGCTATGAATGGGTATTACATGGATTTGTTCACCTTAGAGTAATTCAAGCTATACATTTAAGATTTGTACATTTTTCTACATGTATGTTACGCTTCAATAAAATTTTTTTTAAAGATAGCATTAATTTGCAGTAAATCTAGTTTTTTAACACCTTGTGCTTATGCATTTGATTTTGTTATAAACTCTAAATACAGCATTTTACACTTATTCCTTTGAAATTTCATTATTTTGGTTGATTAAGATATTTTAAGTTCCTAGTTCTGTCATCAGTGCATTAGTTATCTCACTATATTTTCAAATTTTATTTTCCCTCAGCTTTATTAAGGCAAAAATGACAAAAATTGTACATATTTACGGTGTACAATGTGATGTTTTAATATATGTATGCATTGTGAAATAATTAAATCAAGCTAATTAACATATCTCACATATTTTTCATTTTTGTGTGGAGAGAACATTTAAGATCTATGCTTTTAGCAATTTTGAAGTATACAATACTTCATTAACTATAGTGACCATGCTCTAGGTTACATCTCCAGAACTTTTTCAACATGTCTAATTGAACCTTTGTATCCTTCAACCACCCACATTTCATTCCCCTCCACCTAACCCCAGCCCCTGGCACCACAATCTACTCTGCTTCTATGGTTTTGACTTTTTTAGATTCTATATGTAAGTGAGCTCATTCAATAGTTTTGTCTTTCTGTTCCTGGCTTATTTCACTTAACATGAAGCCCTCCAGTCATCCATGCCATAATATAGGAAAAGATTTCCTTCTGTTTTCGGGTTGAATAGTATTTCATTATATATGCTATCCAATGTTTTCTTTATCCATTCATATGTTGATAAACACTTGGGTTGGTTCCATATCTTGGCTGTTGTGAATAGCGCGGAAAGAAACATGGGAATGCAGGCATACCGATTTCAATTCCTTTGAGTATACACCCAGATGTGGGATTGCTAGATCATATGGTAGTTCTATTTTTAACTTTTTAAGACCCTACATATTGTTTTCCATAATGGCTGTACTTCCAATTATATCTTTATCAAAGTCCTCTATCATGCCCATGGAGGCTTAACTGTGAGTTGACACCAGAATACTAATCAATTTCTGTTAGGTGTGATTGTTAACCAGCCAATTATATTTTCTTTATTCCTATAATTTTGTATATTTTACTCACAAGGATATTAGAAATTTGGCCAAATGCCTTACAGTCAATATGTACATTTTCTATAGCATTCTCTTGATTTAAAAGTTTAATAACTCCCAAAAAAAGGAAATAATGTTGGCTTGTTCTTGACTCTGAATCCATTTGACTCCATTTAATCACCTCTTGCTAATCTAAATAACCATTGAGGATGCTCCCAAATATTCTCTCTTTCCTATTGTGCACATGTAGGAGTGTACTTCCCTGCCTACTTGAAACTAGGCATGGTCATGGAACTTGCTTTGGTCAATGCCATGAGTAAAAGTGAAATACATCACTTCTGGGAGTAGAATGAGTATACTCCACTGCATCCTCTTTGCCGCTGCTTTGACAACCAGAATGTTCCAGCGTGGGTCCCAAAGTGAAGGCAACAACAGAGGGGAGCCCCATACGACCCATAAGGGACATGTCGTATGAGCAAAAAATTAACAAGAAATAAGCCTTTGTTAGCCAAGCATGGTGGCTCATGCCTGTAATCCCAGCACTTGGGGAGGCCAAGGCAGGTGGATTACATGAGGTCGGGAGTTTGAGACCACCCTGACCAATATGGAGAAACCCCATCTCTACAAAAAATACAAAATTAGCCAGGCATGGTGGCACATGCCTGTAATCCCAGCTACTCCAGAGGCTGAGGCAGGAGAATTGTTTGAACCCGGGAGGCTGAGGTTGCAGTGAGCCAAGATGGCACCATTGCACTCCAGCCTGGGCAACAAGAGCAAAACTCCATCGAAAGAAAGAAAGAAAGAGAAAGAAAAGAAAGAAAAGAAAGGAGCCTTTGTTATTTCAAGCCATTGGGATTTTGGTATTGTTAATGAAACATAACCTGTATTATCTCAACAAATACATTATGTTTACCAGTCTATGTTTTCTGGGATCCATGAGTAGCCTCATCTTTAGAAATTCGGGAGAGAATGTGCCCATCTGTGGTGTTCCAGCCCATCTCTTCTCCATGATTTTTTGAGATTACTGACATTACATCTGTCAGTTCTTTCGGTATCTGTGGATATATGTTGTCTAGGACTAGCAACTTGAATTTATTTAAAATGACTGTGTGCTTTAGCACTACTTATCTTGAATTTCAATTCTTTCTTAGCAATACTTGTTATACTTTTCAATTCTCTGTGGTGGAGAAGGTAGAAACAAAAGTTGGATACTAACCCATACTTAAGCTTCATCTTTATTCCTCTTTTATTACCTGGCTTTCAAGAAAGGCTTTTAAAATCCCTCTAGGCTTCTTAACTTTAGCATTATTTGTAAGTCTTTCATTCTGGACATTCAGTTTTCTCACACCTCTCTTTTTATTATTATCATTATTATTATTTTAGAGAGGGGCTCTCACTCTGTCACCTAAAATAGAATGCAGCAGTGCAATCTCAGCTTCCTGCAGCCTCAATCTCCCCGGCTCAAGCCATCCTCCCGCCTCAGCCTCCTGAATAGCTGGGACTACAGGCACATGCCGCCACACCTGGCAAATTTTGTTTTTTATTTTTTGCACATATGGGATTTCGCTATGTTGCCCAAGCTGGTCTCTAACTCTTGGGTTCAAGCAATACTCCTGTGTGGGCCTCCCAAGTGCTGGGATTATAGGCATGAGCCACTGTACCTAACCTCTCACACGCTTCTTAAAAGTTCATATAGCACCAAATTCACTATCTCAAATTATTTATTTGATTTAATTTTATCTATTGACTGTTTCTGGTACATGCTGTGGTTTTTTGTTGCATTTTTAATGCTTCCCTTTTTTTAACCTTAGTTAAATGCTT